TTTATAAGTTGTAAGGTGTCGTTGTGTTGTATTTCATTGTGAGTTGTAAGTGTTGTTTTGTGTTCTTTATTGTGTTTTTTTAAGCTATTATGGGATATAATAGTATTGTTCTATTCTATCGGTGTTTATTTATGTTTTATTGAAAGGAAGTCTTTAGTTTGCAATCATAATATTTTTTTTAGGTTGCATCAATTTGGTATCAGAGCTTTAAGTTGCACTAAAAATTAAGGGTACTTAGGAGTTCACCTCATTATGCTAAGAAAAGTGCGTGCGAGGGTTACTTGATGCATCATTAATTTGCCTGAGTTTCTCCCACCGGCTAAGAAAAGTACGCACGAGTTCCACTCACTGTGACAAACACATCACATCCGGGGTTTTGGAGTTTTAGGGTTTTGGGTTATACCTCAAAAGTGTATGATGGCGAAGGCAATGATGATGAGAGGATGACAACATTGAGGGAGAAAAATATTTTTTATCATTATTTGTTTTATGTTTTAGAGAGGGTGGAGTATAAACCTATTCAAGAGAGAGTTATTGAGCATATATTACGACGTAGTACTAAGGTTTCTCAAAATCAATTTGGATTCATGCTGGGTAGGTCTATTATGGAAGCTATACATTTATTGAGAGGTTTGATGGAGAAGAATAGAGAGAAAGGAGGATTTACATATGATATATTGATTTAGAGAAAGGATATGATAAAGTTCCAAGAGAATGCTCTGGAGAGTTTTAGAAAAGAAATGAGTTAATAATGCATGTATTCAAGTCATTAAAGATATGTATGTAGGACTTGTGTTCAAACACAAGATGGTTTGACCAAATATTTTCCTATTTTAGTTGGATTACATCAAGGATCAACTTTATGCTCATATCTTTTTGCTTTAGTCGTGGATGCTCTTACTAAACATTTACAAGAGGATGTTCCTTAGTGTATGCTTTTTGCTGATGATATTCTTCTTGTTGATAAGGATTAGAGAGGGAGTTAAAAGAAAACTCGAATTATGGATGTCAACCTTAGAGTTTAAAGGTTTTCGTTTGAGTAGATCTAAAACTGAATACACGCAGTGTAATTTTAGCAGTAATAGATATAGTGGGGGGATTTTGACTTTGGGCAATCAAGTCATTAATAAGAGTACACGTTTTAAATATCTTGGATATATTGTTCAAAGTGATGGTGAAGTAAACGGGGATATTATTAGTATAATTCAAGTTGGATGTTTGAGTGGAATGCTTTGGGCCTATTGTGTGATAGAAAAGTACCCCTCAAAGTTAAAAGAAAATTCTATTAGATGATGGTGAGGTTTGTAATGCTTTATGATACAGAATTTTGGTCATTAAAAGAGAAACATAAAGTTAAATGTTACAAAGATGAGAATGCTCGGGTGGATGAGTGCCTTCACTCTTAGAAATAGAATGCGAAACAAGTATGTATATAAGCGAGGAACGAAGAAATGCAATGATTGGTTTATATTAAATCTGTAATAATAATATGATATTGTTTAAAATTGCGTATTCGGGTATTGAGGCATTTTTCATTCGTAAGGCGAGGCGTAAGCCTCAAGGCGTTTTGAGGCGTAAGCCTCAAAATCAAAAGATTGCGTAAACATAAAATGATAATTTTTTTATATACTAATGAGTGAATAATATAAAACATAAAAAACATAAGATATGAAGTGAAATCAAAATATCTCAATAATAAGACAACATGAAATATAATTCAACTCAAAATTCAACCTTTCCCAAATCCCAGTATTCTTTTCAATAACATATAATTCCAATTTCCAAAAATAAATAGCAATGACATATCACATAAGAACTCATAAGTCATCAGCACTGTCATCACTAAGGGGTTCTTCATTTGAATCATCATCATGATGAACTACTCTCTCCCCATCCTCCTCTCCTATAGAGTCCAATGTCGGCATTTACTTTAAGATTTATGTAAGTTTTAATATATATACCGTGAGGTGAAAGCCTCATGCCAGTGAGGCGAGGCAGGCCTCAACCAAGTTGAGG